AAGAGAGGGGTTACAAAAATTCGATACACACCGATGGAGAAAAGCCAAATTATTACAATCGGGTTCGTGCCCCTCGTGCGGTAACGCCAATATGAAAATAAAAAGCGCCGGGGAAAGAATGTGACGTGCAAAACTAACTTTCATTGGCAGAATAAAGCGTGTCGATAAGTTAAGATGGTATGTGGCTGGCCCCGTGGCTGGCCCCGTGGCTGGCCGCTGATCGAACTGGCAGCTGACTTTTCGATTTGAATTATTCAAAATCTTTATACGTCGTGTTATAAGTAGCTAGCTGGTTTTCTTTGTAGGCTCGTTAATTAGCTCGGAGGTAGTTAATTGGCGATGTCGATATGGAGAGGAGAGGAAGCGAGACGAGTATGGATCATTTAGCGCCTCCGGACCACGTAGACCCTCTTCGGTCCATGTAAACGCGAATATGATTCATGCGAGTTTTAGTCGTGTCATTTGTGCCAATTTAGCGAAAGAAAAAAGTCGATTATAAAACCTCGAGTGCCGTAAAGCAGAGTCGTTAGGTTGGAAATTTCATTACGTCACGATAATAAGATTGACTCGTTGCTAAGAATCGCGCTTTCTTCAATAATATTTTCTTAATTGTCAATGGCAAGTATTATCTTTGTCAAAGCATTGTTGTCAAATTGAAACTATCGATTAGTATGATTAGAATTTGAGGAAACGTTCCACTATTTTCGTAAACGCGTTTCATCGTTAATATCACTCGTTCCGTCGAAAAATTATTATTAAACGTAATGATATTTGCTGATTTTTGTTTTGTTTTTGTTTTGTTGTTTTTTTTTTTGTTTTTTGTTTTTTTTGTTTTTTGTTTTTTTTTTTTTTTAATTCATACGACCGAATAAAAATGTATAAAGTATTATTTTCTTCCAAAAAGTATAAAACCATGTATATTTACCGTATCAATTTTTTTAATTAAAAAAGTTTTATGATCCAGTTAAAAATATTGTCCTAATAATTCAATAACTCTTTTCTTAAATTCATGGTCCCGGTTATGTATATTTCATCTCTAAAAATGCAATATTTATTTTATTCAAATAAATGTAATATCTTTTTAATGCAGTTTTATAACTGTAATATATTACATTTTGAATAATTATTTAGCATGTTAAAGTAAATTGCAAAATGAAAATATGAAATTACTTTATCTCAAGTTTTTACGTTATGAATGTAGGTATAATCACTTTATAAAAGTAAAAGCTCACTTTTAATTAGTATAAAAATTAAACGAGAAAGTGGCACATTTTCTATGGAAATGGGGCACATTTTTATTATATAAAAAAAAAAACAAAAAACAAAAAAAATGAATGTTCTGTTGAGCTGAAATCCGAAAATACTTGTGTTACATTTTCTTTTTCTAACTTTCTACGTTTCAATTTTCTCTCTCTCTCTCTCTCTCTCTCTCTCTCTCTCTCACTCCTTCTCTCATCATCTTCTTTTCTTAATATTTATTTAATAAAATATTAATTTAATCGGATAAAATCTGCTATATAAATTTTTTAGTAAAATATTAATAAAACATTATGATTTGATGAATGTTAATAAACTAATGGTGCACGGAATATAAGTGTGTTGGTAAATAATATTATTAATAAACGCTAAATATCGAAATGTAAATTATGAATTGTACGTTGTGTACTGTAGTGGAGTGGAAAAATAATTAAATAATTAAATAAATAATATAAAGAAAAATTTTAACTCGATAATTCATAGATTTTTCGTTAATAAACAGTAAGAAATATAAAAATATATTATGTATTTCTTATTGCTCTGCAAAATTTATTTCCTCGATTATTTATCACTTTTCATTACGAATATATTTAATCAAGTATTTGTAATTACCTTTTATTATTAGTTTCAATTAATATTCAGTTTCGGTAAATACCTTAGGGTATTACAATGAACATAAATTATACTTTTAAATTGGCGTTGTATTTATAATTGTATGTAAATAAATATATGTTGTGTCGATAAAATTAATTGAATTTAGTTTATAAATTGTGATCGCATGCATAATAAATAATTTAAATGTGAAATTTTTAATAAAGTTATGTTTACATTTGCATACACATGAAAAATTAATTATATGCTTTACGAAAGTTTATATTATATTACAATATGAAATTTTTGCATTCTAACATTTGAGTCAATTAAATTTTGTTCGAAATATATTAATTAGTCATTTGGAATATGATGGATTTATAAGATATATATATATATATATATATATATATATATATATATAATATAATTTAAATTGTTTAAAATCATTCTTTGTCATCGATATAACTAGTTGTTTTTTTTTGTCAAGGATAAAAATGTTTTGTTGTGCCAAATTAATTTGACCCGAGTGTATGAATATAATGACTATGCACCGATATTTTTTATGATAACAATGCCTTCGTACACAAAGAACATTTATAAAGTATTATGTCGCGTTGGCTTGTACATTACACAATATTTGTCATTCGGAACGAGTTGATAATCCACTTGTATCGTTGAATTTTGAAATTCAACTCTAAGCCCTCCATCGTTACTGCAAAATTATAAAATTCTAATTCTCCATACGCTCAATTCAAATCTATTTATACAATCGCTAAGGATGTTTCTCTATTATTGCTTGCATTATTCAGGACAAACAAGGCTGCATTCGATGCATAATACAGACTGTGATGGCAGCATCCATCAGGATCGCGGACGACACAGCGAAATCAAGGACCTTACAAAAAGCCAACGAATATCTCTAATTAAAATTCCATTAAGAATGAATTTTCTTTACGATTGGGGAAAATAAATTATTAAACACGTGGCTAACAACCATCAGCGATGACATCGCAGCTGCTCATTTGCAATATCGTTAGATTATGCAGATGTCCATGGTGAATAATTTTAATTGAAAAATATATATCGACGCTTCCCTCGCAAATGCCCCCAACGTAAAAACTTCCGCCGAAACAAGCACCCCTAAACGCGCAAGAGAAGAAAAAAAGAGAGAGAGAGAGAGAGAGAGAGAGAGAGAGAGAGAGAGAGAGAGGGAGAGAAAACAAAAGGAGAGCGAGAGATCAAGCTGACCCCGCGGGGCACACGCACGCACTCGGTCCTTCACGTGATCTGGATTAAGGACATACCCGACATCGCCTGCGTCTGCGTGCGCGTTTATTAATCTATAGGCGCTGCTTAAGTATAAGCAAAGCTGTCGTGTAAGAGTAGCGACGCCTCGTCTGTCTCTCTTGGTTCCGCCAGGCGTATAGAAGAGGGCAAAACGGCTCATAACCGATGAATGGCGTTAATTCATTTCGCGAAGCAATTTAGATAATCCCTCGGAGGTTGTGTTTGGATTTAATCGGAGGGGAATCTCCCACTCGACTCGCTCGCTCGCTCGCACACGTACTCGCGGTCATCATTCCAAAACGGGGATAGAAAACAGAAGGGAGTGCATATGTTCCCTGACGCGATACTTTGCATATGCGGGCGGCTCACCGAGCGCAAAAAAGATCAAGTCTTCGGAGATTAGGTAATATGATTGATGACCAATGAATTCTGCTCGTATGCCTCGTAGAAGAGGGGGTAGGGGGTAATTACGATGGCTTTGTTAAGTTCGAGGGATAATTTATGTATCTTGTGTGTAGATGATGGTATGGATAATAACTTAAATTGTGCGAGAAGTAATTAAAGTAAAATATTTCACGTTCGCTAGCCATTATGCTTATGTTGCTGTTGGTTTTCTCGCTCTCTCTCTCTCTCTCTCTCTCTCTCTCTCTCTCTCTCTCCGTGTCTATCCCTCGACGCACTAAAGATGTCATCATTAATGAAATATTATTCACAAATTATAGTTGATGATGATTTTCCATTCGGATTCCAGCCATTTAATCATCAAGGCTTATTTCGCACGTTTTTTTTTTAACTTCTATTAATTATATTCATGTTTTACATTTCCTTTACCTTAATAGAAAATGTTTTGTATGAATTGTGATTAAGAAAACTTTATGCATAAGGTGTGTGACATTTTCGAGTATTTTCTGGGAGATTTAATGGAAGGCGCGATATCTGGATAAACAATTTGAT